CAAAGTATGCTGAGAATCTGTCGATGAGGAATTCAGTGACATAGATCCCGAATCAGGTAGGGGAAGCGGGAGTCCGGTGCCGCTCATAACGGGATCGTTCGAAGAAATTTGCCCTGCAGGAGCAGAAGAGGCTGCGGTGGAGCGGTCAGGATGGGAAGAAGGATCATGGTGACGGAGAGCTTGCTGAAGTTCATCCTGGTATGTAGTGAGGGTGTGGACGACTCCGCCGATGAGTTGATTTTGCTCTGGGGCTGGAGCCCCTTGAGCATAGGAACCTGGGAGACGTCCATCTGAGAGAAGTTCGGCCTCTGCGGTGAACTGGGGCGGTGGTGGGGTTGTGTGCAGCAGCCAAACGTTCTCTTCGACGCGAAGTTCTGCTTCGAATTACTCACATTGTTGCCACATGGGAAGACTGTGTATGGCAGAAAGTACTAGTTGCCAACCCCGGGTGCCCCATACTCGATAATGTGTCGTAGGCCAGTGGGAAGCAGGGTGAGTGTCAATGAAATAACCGGTTGCTGATTTGTAGTATGGAATGTCCTGGTGGTCCCACGACAGAGTCTGATGATGAAACCAAGCGCGATAGAACCAAAAACGTTCACGACCGCCCTGGCGGCAAGCCCATTCCTCAAAGGGTTCGGACACAGGCCAAGATCCATGGGCAGGATGGTGGACCTGGCGAGCATAATCCGTGTAGTCCTCGTTGTATTGATTGTCAACTCGAGGGAGGCTAGGAAGAAGGGCGGGATCAACGGTCATTTGTTCGGAGTCGGAGGGCCATCTTCAGGAGGGACTTGTGTTGGAGATGAATCATCCGAAGGAACACGAACGTCTTCTGGCTGAATATTGGTGTTCTCCATGTCGAGCGAGAGGGAAATGTCCCGAGGGAGCGAAGAGGGAGCGAAGAGCGTGTTGAACCGAAAGGCTGCGAGGGAAAAGAAGGAAATAAAAACTGAACATTGAAAGCAGTGACCAAAATCAGCAAAGAAATTCACTGAAAAATCCACTGGAAAAATCACAAGGCAAGCGGGGGCTTTTTCCAAACAGGAAGCCAAGAGTGGTGGAAACCGAAATGAATTAGTGAATTAAGGCTTAGCCTCAGGTAGTCGAAAAGGGAGTGACGGTCGGGGAATGAGAAAAGGTATTTCCTCGCCAATTGAGCTTTGTAACAAGTATAGTATAGTCCCACCAAAGGACGAGTCGAAGTCGGGGTAGAGTCACTCGAAAATGGTGTTGCCGTAGCAGGGGCGCGAGTGCTCGAAATATCCGGAGAGGTAGTCGTCGTCCGCAATGAAATAGGAGGCTGTGCCGGACGAGCTTTCTTCGGGAAGGTGGTGGAAATGAGAACAGGTTCGTCTGGTACTTGTAGTGGATGGAGTGGACATGGGGCTCGTCAAAGGTTCGAACGAAAAACCGTGAAACCGAAATTTGAGCCGAGGGGCTGAGATGGCGGAGGATGAAGGTCAGGTGCAAGTAGAAATGTGGAGACATAAAATAAATGTGAAAGAAGAGAGAAAAAGGAAGAAAAAGGAAAAGGAAAAAGGAAAAAAACCGAAGGTCGAGGAGGGCCTTTTTACGACGTCTGTGGGGCAGGTGAGTCTGCGAAAGGGTGGGTTGAAACCAAGCATCAGGAAGTGGCACGTCGCTGTAGTTCAAGAAGTTCTGCCCGTCGAGCGCGGATCTGAGATTGAGGGCGCTGCATTTTGCTGGTGATATAGCGCCAGCTGGGTCGAAGTCGTTCATTGCATTTGAGACTGAGAAGAAGGTCATCATCTTTGGTGCTCCAATCGTCATCCCAAGAGGTATCAGAGGGAGGGCGAGGGGAGGCGGGTAGAGAGGAAGGGGTGGGGGAAGGAGGTGGAGAGGGGGAGCGTCGTTTGCGGACACGTGGGGGAGGGGAGTCCGAGGGGCAGAGGAGACGAGGGAACCGGAAGGGGAGGGAGAGGGTGGGAGAGCGCAAGCCAAAGGAAGTGGGTAGGCAAAATCGGGAGGGGAGAGTGCAGGGGAAGGAGGAAAAGAGAGAGGGGGAGGGGAAGAGGAAGCGGCAAGGGAGAGGGGAGGGGAAGGAGGGTGAACAGGTGGGGGAGACGAGAGAGGGGAGGGATGAGGGGGGAGAAGGGAGACAGGGGGGAAGGGAGGAGGTGAGGGCAGGGGGAGTGCGTGTCCCAGCCGATGATGTAGGCGAGCGTAGTGGATCCACATGCTCAGCCGGCGACGAAGGTAGCTGAAGATCTGATGGAGGTACTGAATGTTCACAAGGTGCCCAATTGATAGAAGGTCGCGTAGTGGTCCGGAATAGAGGTGAAGTCGGACTGGCCGGTGGTCCAGGAGGGCAGGAGCCTGGAGTCATGGCAAGTGGTGATGTCTCATCCGGATTTTGGATCATGTCGACCAAAACACGAAGTGCCACGATGACGATGTTCAGCTGGGACGCAATGGTAGAGACGAGGTCCGAAGTAGTCGAAGGAGACATGTTCGAAAGAACGAGATTGGGCGGGAGAAAATGGTGTTTGAGCCGAGACGCTGGTAAAGGGAGAGAGGAGTAAGAGTAATAGGAAATCATGGGAGTCAACAAGTGCCAAGAGAAAAGCAAATTAAATGTCAAAGTCACGAGGTGAGGACCAAGAATATTTTAACGCGAAAATCAGTCCCATGTGCTGCATCCGGTGAGAAAGTGAGAAACCGACATTGTGCGTGAAGTGGTGGTCTCGGTAGGTGAAAGCGATGACAAAGTTGATGAAGGAGTGGTAGAAGTTGGGTCATGGTAAAGTCCTTGTCGAGGTATTGTTGAGTCAGGTCAATGAGTTGCGGAAAGATGAGGTCGCGAGGTCGGGTCAAGCGGCAGATCAAAGCCAGCGAGTGCCATGTCTGGAGAACCGGCGGTACGATTGCTGCGGATCGGTGTGAGGTGAGGTGGTTGTCGAAAGGTGATAGTGCGTTGAGAAGTAGAGAGAACGAAACCGAGAAGGGTCTCATCTGTGACATACTCCATCTCCAATGGTCTGCCGTAAAAGAAGGGTTGAGCGATGGCCTTGAAGGAGTGAGTATATGTAGCATGTGTGTAGGTCCGAGGAAGAAGACGTTGTCGACATAGCGTGCCCGAAGGGCCAATCCAGTAGCGTAGCGCCACGAGGAAGTGGGGAAGGAGCGTAGGAAGCAGTATTCGCGGAAAAGTGCGACAGCGCTGCGCAAGGCAGGGGACAGAGGTGATCCCATAGAAGCTCCTTGACATTGCCGAAACACGGTGAGGCCCACAGTGAAGTAGGAAGAGTCCAACAAGTGAGAAACCAAAGCTGGCAGATCACAGAGGATGGATGGGGTGATAGGAGCGGGAAGCCTTGCGCCATCGACCGCGAAAGATGCGTTGAAGGCGTTCTTGTTGGTGGAGATCCAAACCTTGAAGAGCAGCATGTAGGATTTGTCGTCCCTGTCGGTTCGCGACGGTCGTTTTTGAACCTTGCTGCAACTTTCGTGACTTGAGCTTTGGGGTTGCACTTTGGACCTCTGGCCTCCTAACGACTAGAGATGATCAGGCCTCCTCATACATGACTTTTCAGGAATTTGGTTTCTTAGGTGGCGTGTGGCGAGCGGCATTCACATCAGTACGCATTTCTATAAATGTGTGTGTGTGTGTGTGCGTCAAACCCTGTTCCTAAGGGCTTTCCACTTCTGATTTGTTTTCAAGCAGGGGGGCAGTGAATCTCATTCCATCCACTGCCCAACGAAGACGGTGGCTTGAGATTGTGAGGCGAGAAGGGACGCTTTCTCGTGTACCTGCCGAGTGAACTTTTGTCCAATTTGATCGGTTTGTTTCCATGGTCCTTACATGTTTCCTCCCCTAAACCCACTTTCCTGCAGCTGAGCTTGTCACCGCACCGATTGTACAGATCGATTTCGAGGCCACTTGCGAACAATGTTCAACCATACTGTTGTCGCCGACTCACTCACCTTGCGTTTCTCTCACCTTCCTTCTCAACTTGGGAACTGAGTTAACAGAAAACCAATGTCAGAGTGTGTGTGTATAGAATCACAGAGAACCCGTTGATTTATGTTGATTTGTACTCTTTGCGCACGTATTGCTCTCTTTGAATTTAACTTTAGGAGGGGAGTGCGGCGTGATTGTGGGACCGCGCTCAACAAAGCTACCGCGATCATGAGATTTACCGATTCTGATCAACTCGGCGTAGCTGCAGTTTTACCTGCGCAACTTCCTCGCGGTCCCTGCTTTGAACTAGAACAAGAACTTCGGCCCTCGCACCTGTTTGCATCGGCAGTCCCGCATTTGACTTTGATGACTTTGAGCTTTGCAACTGTTTACCCAGGCAATTTTTTTGCTTAGGCTTCTTCGGCTGGGGCGATTCGGGGCGATCAGTTTCCGTACGCGTTACCTCGAGTGTGTGTCGTGATAGTGTGCTGTGGATGAGTCTTTGTGGTTGTCTTGTGGCTGTGTGTTGTGGACGCGTCTTTGTGGTAGTGTGTTGCTGTTGAGTTTCGGCGGGGAAGCACGGCCGTCGGGAGCTGGCGGTCGAGGAACGCTGCCGTCCGGAGCGGGAACACTGCCGTCGGGAGCTGGCAGAGGAGAGGAGGAGGTCAGAGCAAAGGAGACGCAAGGCGGCAGCGGAAATAAAATCTAACAACCCTCACCTGACAGGTGGGAAAATAAGCGGATTACTAAAGAAGCTCATGAGCTAGACCAAATTGCAACAGCGTCAATCAACTTCTATGCCGCCAGCAAATCGCTTCTTCTGGTCTTGATAGGCGCTTCTATTGCTCCAGTAGGTTGTATCTGTCTTGCTTAAGGCGCCATGCGCGTTCAAACGTGCCTTAACGTAGAGCACCAAAAAGGAAGGCTGCTTCAATCTTAGTCTCCCACCTTTCGTTTGCGCCGTCACCATACATCCGATAGCAGTAGCAAATGCAATCTCCGCGCGCAAGCTGTATGGGAGCAGACGGTCAGCGCACAAAATTGCAGACCCCTCGCGCAACACCAGGGTCCAGTCCTGCCATGATTGAGCAGGAGGGATGCTTGTCATCCCCATGCACTGCATGGGCACGAAGTCAGGAGCCCTGAGACAGGGATTGCTAACAAGGACAGGTAGTGGGCCAACTTGCGCTGCCTCGCTTGCATAGTGGATTTGATGTCCTCTGTTCTGCTCGCCTGCAATCGACAAAATACAGAATAAAATCGATCTCTCTCTTTACCTAAATGTATATATATATATATAACTTATATAACATTGACATGTATATATCTATATGCACATACTGTACACATGTTGTGTATTATGGCTATACACCTACTAACTACTAACTTAGCAGGAGCAAGCTGCAAGAAACTATTCGCTGTTGACATCAGGCCCTGTTATGCCCTATTTAGAACCCTTCCGAGGATTCCGATGTGCTGAGTCTGTGCGGCGCTGGCAAGCAAAAACACAAAAAGAACGGCTGAACAAGGCAGTCAGTCTGATAGAAAATGTGGCACTATTGTCCCAACACACGTCTTTCACTTCCTCTCCAGCTAAGTTCAAGGCAGTTGACTCCTTAGGTTGAAACACGTTGCAACCCTCACGGCTGGTCAGAAAGAGTTTCTGAACCGAGGGCTCAATGCTAAGTCAAGCTCGAAAGGGGGAGGTGGTGGAACTGTCCTCAAGGGCAGCAGAAGTAAAATCTTGCGCGGTAAACGACATGTATGCGTCACTAAAACGTGTCTTTTTCCAGACAAGCTTCATTCGCAGATTTTCGCCTTTGATTTTGGCACTCTGGCCAATTGAGCCGTCTGCAGACGACAGCTGCACGTTATAACCTGGAGGGAGGGCTCGCGGAAGAAATTTGTATATGTGGGACGTGGGACCGTGCACGGGCCACAACCAATACGCCGCGTATATATGTATATATAATATATAAATATATATATATATATATAGATATAGACATAGATGTATCTTCGGAGTGGCTCAAGGTCTTGGCTCAAATCCTGCGTGGCACCTCTTTCAGCTCTCATAGGCGTGGCTCGACGTCTTCCACGGCACTCGTCCTTTGCGAGATCATCCTGAAGGTTCTACTGATCCTCTGCGGCAACCATGAACTTCGGTGGGTGGCATCCATGATTGCATCCTTTCTCTTCATGATGACTGGCCCATGCTCCCCATCAGAAGTTCAAGACTTGAGACCAGATGGCAAAGGCTTTTGCGCCTCATCCGCTGTATCAAGGCTGTCATGAGCTGGAACAACCACTAGACTGGACAGTCAGCCTCCGACTGCAAAGGCGCCCTACACGGTCAGCAGGGCTCGTGCCCTCTGCGCGGCGTGGACCTGTGGACCTCACCTTCACACATCTGTTGTGGGAGTGTCAATTTTGGGACAGCAAGGTCGAGGCTCTCCCGGCTGAATGGTTGCATCGACTCCAACAGGATTCGGAGCCTGAGCTGTGGAATCGAAGCAGGCATGACCCAACGTATCTTCCGAGAACGACACGGGGCATGAGCCCCTTTGAAGGAATTAGTCTCTGAATTGACCTGGAAGCGACTCATCTCAAGCAAGGGCAAGCCTGTTGCTTGGATGTGCAACGTGCACTGATCGGCGGCACCGTCAGTACGTCTTTGCTTTGGCCATCTTTGACATCAACACCCATGAGTGTGTGGCATTGGTCCTGGGGAAGCCACCAAACAAAGGGCTTTGCTCTATGCTCTCGAACTTTTGGCCTTCGTGTCCTTGACAAGACGCATGTTGGCCTCTCGGGCTACCAGACTTGGAAATCCTGGATGCCTACAAAGCCTTTGACCCTCTTTTCTGACCTCTATCGGCTCGGAGTTTGAGGATTTTGAGCAGATTTCTGTCCCTTGCTCTTTCTCTCCAAATAAGGCCAACCAGCGGCTGTCCAGAAGCGCCTGACCTTACAGAAGCTTACAAAGGATAGCTCCGGCTAGAGCGCAACAAGAACTTCCCACTGAGTTCCTGGAGTACCAGGCCACTGATGAGGATACTGAAGCCATCACCTCTTGCGCAACAAGGATCACTTCCTCCTCACACAGCCCTGATACCCCGGAAAAAGGCAATCGTAGCTAATCTTCACCAGAACCCCACTGACAATGGGCGTGCTTGGGGAGCTCACCATAGTGGAGCACAATGTCCAAGTTGCACGTCCTCTTGCGCGAGGTGAAGGAATGCAGTCAGAGTCGGTGTCAAACTCCTGTCAAGGAGTGCAAAAAGCCAGCATGGAGGTCACTCATTACTTGGTCAACCAGCAAGCCTCGTGATCAATACAAAGCCTACATCCTGGCCAGAACCAATGAAAGCAGTTTCAATGCCTTTGTGGGCGGCGTTTGCCACAGCGGCCCGTTGCCTCCATCGATGTGGACAGGGCATAGCATTCACACAATGGTGCGCCAGGGCGAATGTCAGGCCAAAGGCCGCATCAAAGAGGACCATGTGGCTTTAAGCCGCAGGCTCAGAGAGCCATGTCCGGATCCGAGATCATAGGATCTTTGACGTCTTTTCAGACGAGTACCATGTGGCACAGAAAGTCCGTGCAAAAAAAGAAAATGCACCTTCGGAAAATACAACGCCGAAAACAGCAGCACAAGTGATCAAACTCGGCTTCGAGCGTGCTGTCTCAGCATCGAGGGACAGCACCGTTCCATGCAATCCATTGAAAGCGGGATACTTGGTAAGACCTCAGGCACTCTCAAACCAGGTGTGCCTTTCACATGCGGAAAGCCACCACAATCACGCAGCTCCGAACCTTCGATCACAACTTCAGTGCCAGGCGCAAAAGTCTCCTCAGAAAATGTAAGCACTGTTGATCGAGCCAGCTGGCCACTTGCAGGTTCCAGCGAATTGGTGACACACACAAGGCCAGCGGCTAGCATGAGCAGGTGTATATAAAGGTGGGGCAAGAAATCCCAGTCTGAGTGACCCAGCATCGGTTCACAAATCATAACTAGAATATAAAGAGTTGTAATGCTTTTCTGGAATCACTTTGAAACTTGCTCACACAAGCTCATTCTCAAGTGTGTGTGTGTGTGTCACCCTTGGAGTCATAGGGATGCTTTTGCATTTGTTTATGTTACAGCAGGGGGCATGGCAGCTGTTTCCCTAGCCATGCCAACGAAGCTACGGGATTCAGCCGGAAGGGAATGTGGACGCACATTCCTGTACCTGCAACGTGAACTGTTTTCAAGCTGTTCCACTTCTGTGTTTTGCAGTAACCGTCTACTGCTGCGGTGATTCATTTCAGACTGTCAGATTGGTTTTCTGCACGCACGTCGTCACTTGGTCGATCGCTCGCTCGGCGCTTTTCTGTTGGAGCTGTTGGACCTCTACTTCCCTCTAGGCCCTCTTTTTCTTTTCTAGGTTTCCTCACCTGGTTTTTCAGGATTTGGGTCGCTTAGGCTGGCGAGTGGCACCGCATTCAGTTCCGTACACAATATCTCAAGTGTGTGTACCCCTTGGAATCATAGGGATCCTTTTGGATTTTAGCAGGGGAGCGGTGGGCATTCTTGAAGTCACCGCTCAACGAAGACACTTCAAGTTTGCTGTGATATGCAATCTGGACGCAGATTGCACGTACCTGCATTTTTCCTTTTTCTGAATGGCACGAGGCTAAGCCAAGAACCTCCTGACATGATTCCTAAGTAGCCGCAGACTTGCACGCCACGACGTCATCTTGTCGGTTCGTCGCTCGTCTTCTTCCTTTTGGGCCCTACTTCCTCTTGAAGACCTCCAGGCTCCGTTGGTTCTTACTGGTCCTCTTAGGAAATGGAACCCTAGGCCGGCGTGTGGCACCGCTATCAAGTCAGTACGCATATCCATGAGTGTGTTTGGCTTCGTGCCAACCCGGGATGAGCCCGCAGAGTGCCTCCCGTGAACCCGTCGAACGGGTGTACGTCGTTATCTCCCCTGCCCGGAGATGTACGTGTCCGCAGCGGACAGTAGCTGGCTCATGCCACAAGAACTCAAATTTTGTCTCATCTTTGGAATTCCAAGCTGGCTCATGCCTTTACGTGACCGCAGCGGTCAGAGGTGGCAGCCTTCGGGCAAGCCGTACGTGGTCGCAGCGACCAAAGTCTGTTCAAGGCTCATTGGAGTCTGTCGCGAGCTTAGTCCCCCCCTCCTCCCCCTTCCCTTCCCCTTTCTTTCTTTGCTTTCTGGGGTTTTCCTGAATGGAATACTCAGGATCTCCCCTTTCCTTCTTTGGTGTGTCCCTGGACGATTGTTCGTAGCTGGGAACACCTTCCTTTCTCTCCTCTCCCTTTCTCTCCCCCTCTCTTTCTTTCCTTCTCTTTTTCCTCTCTTCGCCCTCTTCCTTGGGCGTCCCTGGATGCTTTCGTCATAGCTGGGAGCCCTTCCTTTTTGGTGTGTCCTTGGACGCTTGTGCCGTAGCTGGGAGCACCTTTGTCTCCTTCTTTCTTTCCCTCTCTTTTCTTCCTCCCCCTGCCCCCTCTTTCCTCGCGCGCGGCGTGTTTACAAACAAACTAGGCTTCTGCAACAGGTTTTTCTAATGAGGTTTGGTTTGTCATCGGTTTGTTCCCGTTCATTTGGTTCCCCTTTCATCGGCCCCCACAGACGTTTTTTTTTCCTCTTTTCTTTCGTGTCTTTCTGTCTTCATGTCTCTTCATCCTCATCCTTTCTTTCTCTTGCGCGCACTTTCGTCCGGACCTTAGTTTGTACACATACACGCACGCGTACTTTACTTACAGCGAGGTTCAGGTGGCCCAGGTTCGTTACAATGAGGTTTGCCCCATCGGTTGTCCCTCTTCACTTGGTTCCTTTTCATCGGCAACCACACACACCTTCGTCTGTCTTGTCCTTCTCATTTTCATCTGTCCCTTTTGCGTGCACATGTGCCTACCTCCTTTCCGGGCAGGATGGAGGTCACACATGCCTCCCTTCGGGGAGGCGTGTGTGTGTAACCCTTGGAGTCATAGGGATCCTTTTGGATTTTAGCAGGGGAGCGGTGGGCATTCTTGAAGTCACCGCTCAACGAAGACACTTCAAGTTTGCTGTGATATGCAATCTGGACGCAGATTGCACGTACAAGCACCTGCAAATGCAATCAGGATCTCTGGAGTTTGTCTTGGATTCAACAAGACCCCGTTCGCAACTCTGAGTCTGTGGGGTCCTTGGGAGCATCCACCAAAAACGTTGTAGTAGGCTGTCCCCTCTCTGCTGTGGTGCCTCGCGGCATCATCAAAAACTGTCTCGACACACGATCGTACTGATGTGCCAAGGGGATTCAAGCTGGCCTGCCACACTGCCTGGTAGAGCACTCACTTCATCCTGGAGACATTGTGAGAACCTGAGAAACACCGCATGCTGCACCGCTCTGATAGAGAAACAGGCGGCTCTGACAGCTCAATCGAGCATGCCACATGCCATGTGGCATTGACTGAACGGCACGCTGATCGACCACATCGCTACCCTGTAACAGGTTGCCAAAAGTTGCAGTAACCCAAAAGTGCAAGCAACTTTGCCAAAAATTGCCCGAAGGGAAAGGCCTCGATGTGGATGAATGTGTTCCGAACTTGGTACACGTTGGGAGACAATGCCACTCCTGCACCCTCCTGTCCCAAAGGCAACTCACTAGATTTAACTGTTTTATATACATGGTTTGAGTGGGCAAGCTGAACTACCAAACAATATCAGCGTGGATACCTCTGAACCAGGCTCGTTTTTGTCTTCAGGAGAGGTAACACCTTGGCAGGGCCGGTTGTCGTCATTGATCATCGACAAAGTGCATATTTATATATATATATATAAATCTATACTGTATGTACAGCAAAATCATTGAACCATATTGAACCAGTTCATTCCCGTTAAGGCTGGGGCCAGAAATCACTGTGGACCCTTCGGATCCAAAATGCGCTGAGTGAATCTCATCCTTCTTACCTTGGGCACTTGAAGTACCAATTGGTAGTCCCAAGTGGAACCAGGCCATGGGCTTTGACTGTCGGTCTCCTTGCCCTTCAAATTTGCCGGATTCGGCTTGAACAAGTGGAGCCTGCCTTGGTCAGATTGGATTTGCTCACACACCTTGATTGAGTGATGGAATGACGGTCTGAGAATGCCCAAGAAGGTGGTGTGCCTAAGTTTTGCTATGCAGCCTGCATCTTTGCTTGGGGCTTCTAATATGGAGCACAAAAGGACTCAACTTCTAATATGGAAACCATACTCCTGGCCGGGCCAAGCATTTTGCGTACAGTAATTTTTTGGTAGGCCTCGCCCAAATCCTACCATTTGGTCGACGCACGTCGGCAGAGGTTTGGGGGATGCTTTCATGCTTGCATATGCTTGCTATGCCTCCAGGCACTGGACGGGGTTTAGATGCGGTCTTGTTCACCTGGAGAATCACATGCCAAGTCTTTGACATGGTGTCTGGTTCCTATTTCTATATCATATCCAGCATGAGGCTTTGACCAACATGGTCTTGAGATGTTTCAAGTCATTCCCTTTGCCGCCCAATTCTTGCGTGTTATCTCGCAGTGCTGTCACTATCCTTACCATTGCCGGATGTGCCAGAGCATTGGCATGAGTCGTGAGTGGTCCAAGCACCTTGCACTCAAGGACCTCACATAACAAGAAAAATGTCAATGCCCAATTGCCATGCACCGCATGGTGCATGCACTTGCGGGAGCCAGTCTGCCTTAACTTCCTTGTGGTTGGCAGTGCCAAAGCAGAAGTTCAGCTAGCATTGCCCAGCCCGATCTATATATGTGAATGGCTTGGTTTGGCTTTACCCACAAAAAGTATAAAGGCGCTGGTGCTCAACCAAGGAGACCTCTTTGACTGTCCGACTTTGTCTGCTTGGTCTTTTGGTTTTCTGCTCTAATTATGGTACTCCTATGTACTCCTCACAATCTCTCAAGTCAGCACTTAAGCGTCGCTTCTGGAAAACTTCGACACTTTGGCCACGCAATGGCCAGGTTGCTGAGGTTTTTGAGTGCCCGAATAATGCCGGAACAAAAAGGCGCGAAACAAGCAAAAAAACATGTTCTGTTCCTTTGATTTCTTCTGCTTGCCGCGGCCTAGCTTGGACGGCGTCTCACCCGGGCACTGAATGACATCCAATGACGCCAAAGCGCGCTCTGGTCCAAAGCCGTAGCTTTCGCATTTTATTTCAGGGTACTCCTCGGCTAACTTCTTGGCCTCCACTCCAATCACTGAACTTGCGCTGGCCAGGGTGCCATCGGTTTCTTCAAAAAAAAATGAAACATATGCAAAGGAGGCAGCCAGCCACCTTCTTGCGCTGCTCAGTCTCCAATGCGGGTAGTTTCAATTCCATCATGGTCCTTGAGCGGTTAAAAACTTGGAAAACACAACGAACACTGCACGTCAATGGCCTAACCGGCACTTGTCATTACCAAGGGCTGGAGTACACATTTCGGCTCCCAAAGGAGGCTGCACAAAATCAGACAAGGAACGCATCTGCTAGAAACGCGGACAGTGCCTTGGAGAAAAGTTGGAAAAGGAAACATCAACAGGCAAAACATTTTAAGACTGAATGAAGACCATTGTTCCCCAGTTTGGGTTGCTTGTTCACCCCTACCTGACCCAACACTGGTAAACAATTCGATGTGCTGTCCCACTGGAGGGTGAATGCTGCCAAAACACTGCTTCTACATCAAAGCCGTCGGCCTCTCCAGGAATCTCCTGGCAAACTGTTGGCTGAGAGTGGTTCAGCAAATGAAGCGGCCATAACTCATAACACCATAGCGGCCCGTCTGCACAAGAGATGTTTGGTCAAATGGTCGAAAAATCAAAACCTGGACTGTGCGGCCGATACTGCCGACACAGTGATTGCACCTCAGGCATGGCCTTCGTAGAGCAGCGAAAGCTCTGGCGACCTATGTGCAATCGCAACACAAAGCTCGCATAAACCAACCTTTTCATCATTTCCATGCTGGTCCCACCTCCAGTGCTCAAACGCCTGGGTGAAACTAACGGTTCAACGGGTTCTTGAACCGGCTACTTGCTAAAAGCTTGCGGGAGTCGTCTGACAAATTGGCCGACCCCTTCGACATGTGATTGTCTGCTTCAATAGCTCCCGGTCTCCGTCTGCGCGCAAGAAACAGGATCTCCGTCGCTTTGTTTTGTTTTTTAAATCTCTTTTTTCTTTCGTTGTTTTGGGCAACCTTTTTTTTTCACCCTTGCACCCTTTTTCTCCACCCCACCCTTCTTTTCCACCCCGTACCTTTCTTTTTGAGCCTCTACCCTTTCTTTTTCACCCTCCTTCCTTTGGTTGGTGTGTTGGTTGGCTGGCTAGCTTGAGGTTGATTGATTGCGTGATACAGTGATTGATGGATCATGAGCAGTGAGAAAAATGTTGTTTTTTGATGTGTTGGTTGGTTGGCTTGCTTGATGTTGATGGATTGCGTGATACAGTGCTTGATGGATATGCAATTTGTTCTGTTTGTTTGCTTGTTTGACGGAAGGATGGATGGATGCTCTGCAAATAATGACAGGAAGGGGTGCGCGGGAGGGGCAGCGCCCCCCCCGCCATGCAAACCAAGTATCGATGGCAAAGTGAGGAAAACACAGAGTTATGCGGCTCGGTTTCTTTGTTCGTTGGTTGCTTGGTTTGTTGATTTTGCCGCTTTGTTGCTTGGTTGGTTGGCACCCCGTTGCTGATGGACGCATGGATGGATGGATGGATGGATGCTGTACAAGCTTGAGTGGGAGGGGTGGACGAAGGGTAGGTCGCTAAGTTCAACTTTCAATTGGGTGAGAGAAGAGAGAGAGAGAGAGAGAAGAGAGAGAGAAGAGAGAGAGAAGAGAGAGAGAGAAGAGAGAGAGAAGAGAGAGAGAGAAGAGAGAGAGAAGAGAGAGAGAAGCGAGAGAACAGACCAAACAGAAGACAGAGAACAGATCCGTGGGATTCGAAGCCGCAGCAGCAGCAGCAGCAGAGAAGCTCAACGCGAATCCAATCAATCACAGCAAAGCTGCGCCGCCAGTAGAAAAGAAGCAAAATAACGGGGAAGGAGGCGAAGCTCCATACGCACCCAATCACGCCAAAGCAGCAGCAGCAGTAGCCAAATGACGAGGAGGGAGGAGAAGCTCGATATGAATTTAATCACACGAAGCCACGGTACCAATACAATTGAAGGAAAATTCACTCGTCCCAGGGTGGCGTTGATCCACAGGAGGGGGTGAAAGAGTGACTAAGGCATATCATGTAGGAGGATAGACCGTAAGTGTCTTCTACACGCAGAACGCAGTCTCCACTTGAGCCTGGAGAGTCATACAGCGATATGACAGAGTAACATGGATGTGGTAGTGTCCACTGTACAGGTCCTACATTTCAGCAGGCGCAATTCACAAAACACTTCCACGTTGAGCGGCTCTCCACACAAGCTCAACCGATTGAACGACCACGCATCGCCAAAGTTCAAAAGATTGAAATCCGCACTGACTGCATCGAATTAAAATACCTCGCAAAATGCAAGGAGCAGCAGGCTCGAGTAAAGATCTTCACAGTAGTGGTCTCGGCCACAAAAGAAAGCACACAAGCTTAAAAGAAAAGTTCAATACACAAAACCCACGAAGTTCAGGCGACGAGATACTGGCAAGTGACTCTACAAGAACGAATCTACGCACTACACTCGCAATGAATCTTCTGATCGTTTTCCCTGATAGAAAGTTCATCAAATGAAGATTCAATGTGGCAGCTCTACAGGTGAAATGAAACGAGAGAATCAAATCACAGCTGTACACGGCAATGAGTCTTCTTAAATCATCTTCCTTGACAAGAAGTACATTCAGAGGACAAACTCATTCTTTGAACAAGTGATACCAATCCTGAAAAAATGCATTCACAAGCTCACGAGGTCATTCTTTTCGGCGCTAGCGACTAGCTGGACGCAAGGTCATGTACATGGGGCCGTGACTGTCTGTATCTCCTGGACGAGGGCACACGTTCACCCTCGTCCATGGTGTCCCAATCGCGACCAATGAAGTACTCACACCCCTGAAGAATCAAGGACGAAACAGAGTACCATGCGCTGGGAACTACCGGCTTCGCCTTTGCGTCAGCTTTCAAGCGGGCCTCAGAGCCTCACTTAACAAACGGGTCCAATGCTGCATGGTGCTATAATTGTAATATGTTGTAATTGTACATAGGTTGACCCTGTGAATTGGTCGGTCTATTTGCGCAACTATTAGCCTCACCATTAATGATGTCTACCTTGTGCATGAAGCGCTCGTAGAGCATCAATGGAGTTGCCCTGCTGTTATGGCATGAGCTTTTACGGCCCTATGAATATCTACATGGAAGTCGCAGATTCTCACACTATTCAATTGGCTTCTCGACAATGGAACTCGATCTTCCTTTCAAACTCAAACTGACGGTCCTTGAACTCACTGCGCGGTCTTGTGTAGCCAAATCTGGTTTCAAGAATAGCCCATGTGACATCGCACTGTGGACAGGTCCCTAAGTTCTGATCATTACCGGCGATTACTTTGATATAGCCGTCTGGTGCCAATTACCATAACAGCCAAATTACTCCAATCATTAAATCAAACGGACAGTTGTGTTCCTGGACAAACTCAACCACTTCTTAGAGCATCCAAGCTTCCTGAAGACAAACCACATGCGCGCGCAAGAACAACAACATGTTGAACAACAAGTTATTCTCCTGCTCGTCGAACCTGAAGGGCCTCTGATTCCGGCACCTTGGCGTTGGTTTCATCAGTTCATCTAAACCTAACAAGTATCGAGGAATCTTGTACTTAGCATCTCTTACCATCTCACTGAAATTCCAACTCAACAAGGTGAGACCTAATGTTGACGACAATATTTTCTTCAGCTACATCGCCCTTTAAAAAATCGTTTGCAAATCTCCTCATAGAACTCGACGCAATCCCATCTTGGTCCCTGGTGAGCATTTATTCCTGTAGCTCTTCCTTTGCTATCCCAAGCGCCTGCTTGGCTCTGGTTGCCCGACCGCAAAGAACTTCAGGCAAGTGATAGGCGGGAAGTCAAGTCTATCATCGTTGATATGGCATGGTAAACCGCATGTTCTTCTTCTTTATAGCATTTAGAAGGCGGTACCTGATTCAAGTCTGTGGTGACAGAGACATGACTGTGCCCATGTTCGAGGGGACCCTCGCGAAAACGCATGTGATTCAACAGATCACGGTGTGTCCCTCTAAAGTTCATGCGCTAAAAACCGTATCAGGGTTTTCCCAGGCAAGGAGATGTCAAAAGCTCATCTGTTGATGGGATGATGAAGAGGGCCTTTGCTCAGGTCCCGGAAAACCTTTCTCCAGGCTGTCTTGCGCTCTCTGTTCTTCATCCATCTTTAGGATCTTTCTGGGCATCCTGGAAACCTCTATAGACCCATCTCGCCTTGAACTTCTTGAAGCTACCATCCTTGTCTATCTTGATGGTAAGGACCCAACGACCAGTAACGTAGTTGTCGATCTTGTGCTTTCTTCGGTCTGAAAATTTCATAGCTGTAAGTCGAAAAAGCTACGGAACTCCTCTAGCTGAGCTTGTTTGTTCTCTTTGGCCCTTTGGCATGCTTCCGGAGCACTTCCGGAGTAATCACTCTCTGCCTTTGGCCTCTTCTTTGCCGTAGTCTTCGCAAGATATTTGCAGAACTGTGAAAAACCTTTAGGATCATAGGGTTCAAAATTTGGAGGAGCTTGTTGTGGACCTACAACACAGAACAACATGTCCTCAAACAGAGTGAATGAATATGCCTTTATCAAGATCTGGATCCTTGTCAGGATCCTTCTCAAAACCTTTCACATCTTCTTCGTCGAAGATGGGTTCTGAGTCTTGGATCTATTGTGGGATCCTTCCCTGCAAAGCACCAAGCAATGCTGCAATGGCAGGCAACAGCTCCTACCAATCCAAGCTTTGTAGGCTTCCTTGCCTGGAATGATGGCGCCAGAAAAGTTTGGGTGGCCACAGCCACAGGTGGAACACCCACACCCCCTGCACTTGCAACAACCTGCCCCAAAACATTCCTTGTGGCCGCACTGCCTTCTTGGCCTTGGACGCTGCAGGTGCACTCTAGGCTTTAGCCTTACTTTTGGCGTTGGCCTTGGCCTTTGGCGCGCTCTTGCATTTGGCTTTCCCCTTGGCCTTGGGCTTGCCTTTGGCGCATACTTGCTTTGGCTGCTTGCCCATCATGGCTTGGAAGGCTTGGTTCTCCATTTGCTCCAATGTCTTCCTTGGCTTCTTTTCATTTTCTGGAACGCAAACCTGTTCCATCTTGCCTGGCGCTGGCCCTTGCTGGGGAGAAGCCACTCCCTTGTCCCCTTGTGGGCGCATTGCCCTTGACAGCTTACACCTTTGGTAGCAGTGTTCAAACTTGGCTCTTGGCTCTGTCCCTGGGTTTGTGGATGCTCCCCAGCAAATCTTGGGGCAACTGATGCGGAGGTTCTTTCTTGCCGCCAGCTTCTGTGTGTGAAACTGCATTTGCAGCTGCACTTGGTGCGGAAAGCGCGGCGTTGGTTTTTCTATGTTTTTCTCAGTGCAATCCTTTTAAGGTATGGCCCCAGTGGGACATGCCTGCATGCAGGTTGCGTGCCGCCAATCTGTCCCCATATCACTTGGTCTTTGTGAACAAACACTGTTGCCAACCACAACACCTGTTGTTGCAGCCTTGTGGAGGTTTTGGAAATCATTGAGCCATTCATGTAGTGCTTGTGGTGTTGGCTCTGGCTTACCCAAATCACATCTGCACATCAACACCAAAGCTGCTGCTTGGTGCTTGGTGGCTTCCTTCAAGGAGGCGACGCCCATTTGAGCCAACCTTTTGGCAATCACATCCAACTGATCAGTGGAATCCACTGAGAGATGCAAG